ATTCTTGCAAAAACATCTCATATTCTATTTCTATAATAAAATATTTACATTAATAAATAATATGATACTGGTTTAAACATTTTTTTACCATCATCACATGGGACATTAGAGCTTAAAAATAGATAAGTCACATAATGGCTCCTTTTTCAATTAATTGTGGATTTCATTTCTTTTTTACTGTATGAAAATGTAAGCTACTCTATATAGAAACTACATAAAGAACTGCTTTTCAATGAGTAAACTGTATCATTAATTACATTTAAAATAACTATTGTTATGTAACTCTGTATTCATTAATGGTAACTGTTTATTATTTAAGTATTTACAGGAGGTAAATTTATATTTTTAATTATTAAAATAATACGTTTAAAATTTAACTGGTAAGAAATGATTTGATTACAAGTTAAATTATTACAATATTTAATTAAAATAAAATTTTCAAACTATGACTTTTACATATTTTAAATAAAAATACTATAAAGAAGCTTTATTGCACTAATATAAACAACCATAAATGTTGATTGATCAAAGCCAAATGATTGTCTGATTATATTGGGCTATATTAAATTTATAAAGAGATTGTGCCCAATGTCTATCTTTAGACTATATTCCTTAACATTTAATTATTAATAGTAGCATTAATATATTCCAATATAATCTTGCAATCATTTGGCTTTAGTCAAAATTTATGTGGTATAAATGTTTATTTATCTAATTGAGCTTTATGAGTCAAAATTACTTAATGCTTTCTATGATTAGACAGGGACTTGCATCCATTGTATTAATACAATTGCCTCATATATTTTTAAGACTTCCTAGTGTTTAGGTAAATGGAAATGATCAATATTCCTAATGAACATAATATGTTTCATTCTACTGGAGGTCAATTTATGTAGTACTGCTATTACTATGAGAGCTAAGAGAATGCATAACTCTTTGTCATATATGGTATTTTTAATCTTTTGTAATTAAAGGTCTTGATGATCTTCTAATGTATAGTACTGGGATTCTAAGTCATCCATCCATGATGGTTATAGAGTAAATTTTTGCTTCATTCTGTTTAACAGATTTTTAGCCATTCATAATTGGTAAACTTATAAATGTCTTCAAGCTCAGTATTATGTTCTGTAATTGGCTGGAACAGATACTAGTAATGTAAAATTCTATTACTGATAATGATGCAAAATTTTTTATAAATTTTACATCATTATAAATCCAAAGCTGGTAAAAACAATTCCTCGAGGATTGATAAAACAGAGCAGTTTTGTGTTTAGCATAAGAGGTTAGTGTGTACAATGTGAATCATTTAAATGTTGTATTGTTTTGATCTATCTGTATGTTTTTTCCTAATTTAGATTTGTATTACCTGAAGAGGGATGGAAAAGAAACAAAAATTTGCATCTGAAATGCATAGCAATGTAATAAATGCTAACGTTGTGTAAACTTCAGTACTGTTTTGTCTCTGATAAAATGCAATTATAGTTAAAAAAAAAACAATGATTATCTTCTGTCTTAACCTTTAAAGTTTTTTAAAAAAGTAAAAAAAACCACACCATAAATATATATTTTTTACTTATACAAGAAAATAATGTTGTTTTGCTTTGCATGGAGTATTTTTACATGCCATTTGCATATGCATTTTTTTCTAATTGTTTTAAGCTATAAAAAAATTTGGGATGTTTTTCTTGTAAAGTGTCATCATTTTTAACATTCTCTCCAAACAGCTTGAAAGAAATTAAGCTTTCAGTTTACTCAATATCATCTTCTTCACTTTTAGATCCCAGTAAAGTATCATTGAATTTTCATAATCCTCACTAACAGACAATTTAGCTTCAACTGCACAGTAATACACTTTAGCTTCAACTGCACAGTAAGACACTTTGTCCAGTTCAGTATTACAAGCAGTTATCAGATTGGTTAAGACTTGTTTTTCTTGTAGAACAGTATTCTCTGTACATTCCCTGCTGTTGAGAATCTGGCATGAACAAAAAAACATGTTCTATATGAGCAGTCATTTTATTCCATGCTTCATTAATCCAGTGCACTATATACACTACAGTCAATTGCATTTTTTTTTTTTTTTTTGCCATTTTCAGATTGCTTCCCAATTTGAAAATGGCACTTTTGATTCATTATCTGTACTTGCCAACCTTTAGAATGCCAAATAGTTGGAACATTGGTAGAAAAAATGCTGACAGCATAAAAACCAAAAAATTCTTTATTAACATTGATATTGCACAATGCTTATACAGTAGAACCTCGAAAACTCGGCTCTCGATACCCCGCCACTCCGGATAACTCGGCCACACCCTGGCAGGGCAAAAAATCCTTAGTTAATTAATTTTCATTATAGACAGTTTTATAAAAGTATAAAAGCTCTCATAAAGTATTTTTCTGAGGTCTGTCTTATCAGGTAAATTACTGTAGACAGTGTATTCATTAATTTTCATTTTCATGTAGTAAAGGTGCTATGCCTTCATAAAGGACATACTTTTCCTTTGTTTAAGAGTATTTGGGCAGTTTATTCTCTGTTATATTCTCAAGTAAACAATACATACAAGTACAGTACATTATTTTCTGAGGAAACACTCGTACTTATTTTTTTAACCCCATTCCCGATAACCCGGCATTTTCACAAACTCGGCCACCCTTCGGTCCAGATTAGGCCGAGTTTTCGAGGTTCTACTGTATTAAATATCTTTATTAAACAAAACTATAGCTTTATAAGATATCATACACAGAGATGATAATATTATCTCTGTATGATATCTTATAAAGCTATTGTTTTGTTTTTGTAAAACACTACCAAGAGTATGGCAATAGCTTTATACTCTTTAATATCACAATTTAAAAAAAGGTCAAATATTTTATGAGATATTTATGATATGTCTCTACCTCTATCTCTAGATTTATGAGGTGTTCCATCTTGTTATTGCATGATGAGTGCCTCCTCCTATTATATATGCCTTGTGCGATTTTTTACTTTTTTAAAAATTTCTTTTGTAAAGGTACATTGTACTCATGATAGTTGTTATCAGTCAGTTTATTGACTTTCACTGCAATTATTAAAGACAATAATTTTTCTGGTTATTTATTTCCTGTCTTTTTTTACCATACTGAATATATTTTCGATTTGTCACATAGCAGTGCAGGAGAAGTCCTGCAATGCTGTCTGGTAAAAACCATCATCATCAGCCTTACTATTTTACAAATATTTGTAATCTTTGTAAAATCGTAAGGCAGGTGATGGTTCTTTTCTTGGGAAAATTTATACCATATTGCCTGTATATTCTTAAATGATGAATCAGATGTTTCTTCTTTTTTGGAAGAGAAACTGTAATGCTGCTCAATAATTTGGTATAACTAAAAAGTAGCATTTCCTTACACTGATGAATTGGCCATAATTGATTTAACTGCCAATATGATGGTACTAAAGTTGCCAGACTTAAAGATGCAATTTATCTTATCTGCCATTTAAAATTATTACATTTGAGCTAAAATTCTCATACATATACCAAAATACACATACAAAAATATTAATCTTGGTTCTTTCCCAATTGAAGGAATTTGAGAACATCATTCTGGTTTGTTTCAGTCGTTTGTAATAAATAAGTAATATAAATCTTTCAACACTTTTTTCTAGCAATTTTCTTTAATCGAACTAACGTTTTTGGCTATATTTATTAAATTGCTGGAAAAAAGTGTTGACGGTTTTATATTACTTATTTACAGAAGTTCTAGCTTTCTGTGCATAGAATTGTAATAAAATACATACAGTGTCTTTGGCATATATATTGATGTTAGACTTTGTGATAATATCAAATTCTTTAAAAACACTGACAAAAGGTAAAGTGGCTTGTCCACTGATGGAACATATAAAACACTGATAGTTGGCAACTATGATTATCATTTCTCTATAATTAGACTTATACTTTGTACACATGATTCTTACAGTTTAGTATTTTCGTTTATAAGTGAGCTCCTGTATCTCCATTTTATGAATGTTAATGTGCTGAAAGTACTAAATAAATCCAAGTTGGTCCAAACATTTAATTTAAGAAGTGGAGTCAGTATCATAATTTTGGTATAGTCATTGTTATTGTGCAGCTTTAAACTTGATTTTAATGAACAGACTTAAAATAATTCAGTAACTCTTGAATTTGTTATAAATTCATTCATTTCCAATTTAAAATTTGTCACATCTACATTAAGCCATTCTTTTTATTTATTATTATAATTGTTTTATGTGCTCAAATGTGATTTTTACAATATAGAAAATTGTAGCACATACTGTTTGCCTTCCAAAGTTTTGAATCAAACTCACATTTCTAGTTTATTAAAGGATTATAATATTATATCAATTTTATCTATAGTCAATATTTTATTTTGAAAATTTCTAAGAGTTCAAAAGAAACTAAACTTGTTACCACTTTACCACTTACATCCTGAATTAACAACATAAGTTCTTTTTCAAATAGACACTTACACAATCATTTACATTAAAATGTGTTTAAAATGTTTTACTTGTGTTTTTACTATAATGAATAATATTTTAGCCTGTTTCTCAATTAAGAGCAAAATTTCATTACATTATATTAAATATGCTACTTGAGAAAAATACATGCAACCTGAGGAGTCAACACAGTGAATCACTTTTAATAATTTTCTACATTTGGAATGTCATAAGCTGGAAAAACATGATTTGCTGACTTAAGAATCAGATTCAGTGGCACTAGAATAAGTTGCCTTTATATCATCTATGAAAAAATAAATCTAGAAATACGTGTTACTCATAAAACAGAATCCTACTGTGATCTGAGAAAACTACTGTTTACTTGTAATATTAATGTTGCACTTAATATAATAATTATAATTAATTTGTCTTATTAATTGTTGAATTCCATTTTTGAGTTTAGAATAACAAATCAGAAGCATCAAATTATATATTTAAATAAATGATTTTAACTGTTTTTATTGATAAAAATAAATTTTTTTTCCAGAACAAGCAACTGATGCATCTTTAGCTTCTGAAAACTGGACAGTGAATATGGAAATATGTGACATCATAAATGAAACTGATGAAGGGTATTTATATATCTTTTTTTTTATTTAAATTAACATAAGTGAAAACAAGTCGGTTATTATTATAGTTTTAATTATTGAAATAATTTAATTTGTTATATAAATTTAATAGATTATATTTATAAATGTAATTTTAAGATATTTTATAACATGGGACTGTGGGTTTTATAACTGCTGGGTTTTTTTTTAGTTAAAATAGTTAAATGATAGATCCAAAAAACTCTCCCTAATACTTTTATACACTTTTGAGATCTATTTTCAGGTGATAAATAAAATAAAAGCATAAAGCATACTAACTCAAACTTACACTTGGTATAATGAGTTTAATTTTATGAATGTTTTATGTTTTGATCTTGTTTAGCTTATATCACCTGGAAATCGATCTCAGAATTACAAAAGTATTAGGAAAATTGTCTCCTGTCAAGCAATATTTTTATTGATTAGATAAACATACAAGTTTTCAAGAATTTAGAACAGGTCTGATGATGGAATGACAAACATTTCAAAAATGTTAACCATTCATTCGTTCATTTAATGAGTTTGTTTACTTAATCAATTTATCTGTATGGAGCTGTCAGCCCAGAATAGTATTTTTATCTTTTAAATTTTTAAATAAATGCTTCTTATGGCAACCAAAACATTTATTTTACTGATGAAACATTTTCAGCTCTAATCAGACCATTTTATTTCTATCACAACTTTTACACAAACTTTATGTTCTAGCAAAATCTTCTATTAAGCTTGTTATAAAATGTTTGTTTGAAATTATCGTCTAAAAAATATTAGGAATGTTCTTCAAGTTTAAAAAGTTGTTTTATATAATATTTTAAAATATGATTGCAGTTATGTATGTTTAAAAGTTTTAATAATTTAAAATTTCAAGAATAAAAAAATTTAAGATATTGAGATGTTAAAAACTTGAAGCAGTTTTGTAAAGAAAAATTTCAAAAACTTCAAATTTTACAGATAAAATGGAATCCTCCTTTTTATTCCTTTAGAAGGATAGTTTGCTCCATAATATCTTCAAGTTTATTTCCAAGTCCATTCCATAAGTGATGTTATATTTTAACATTGCCTGAAACTATTGATTTAAAATGTTCATTGTACATACTCTAAGTAAATTAATTTTTGAAACTAGTCTTTTTTTAAAAAAGGTATTAAACTTTTAAAGAAGATATTTTGGATATTATTTATATCTGAAAAAAAAAATTTGGATGAACGAGTCTATCAGTGTATATTATAAAATATTACACATACTCATAAATGAAATTCAGAAGAATTTCCTCAGAATCACAGGAAAAAAGATGATAATGAAGAAAAATTTTAGTTGGCACAATTACTCAAAAGCTAGTCATGATGCTAATTAAATAATGAGCGTAAGGCCTACTGAAAGAAAGTACAGTAGAATCTCGATTATCCGGACCTTAATTATCTGGATTGTTCAAAATAAACAAAAATTTTACAAATTTGCTGATTTGCACTTGGCAAATTATGATACTGTTTATGTACGTGATGGAATGAATAACTTTTTTTGTTTCAACAACGTCTCACCCAGCACAGTGGTTGTAAACTCTTAAATATATTTTGTGTCATAATAAAAATATAACTTGACATACGTATTTATAAATNCGAAAGGTTTCGAATTGTCATCAGGTGACGAGGAGAGACCAATTGGAAAGGGGAATCCGAGAGAAAACGGATAAAACCCCGGAAATTCAAGGACGCTACGGCTTCTTCTCCCGAAAGTTTCAAGTGACGGATCTGTTGTTGTTGTGTGTGTGTCTCGCACCCATCTCCATCTCCTGACCTTGGATCGACATCTTTCCATCAACAGAAGTCGACTGCATCGTCCCGGAGTTATCGAGATGTGATGGAATGGTTTATTCGCGAACAAGGGACACTCCTTCAAAATGGGACTATCTTGGGAAGGAGAGGAAGACCCAGAGGCCGCAGCTACTGCAGAACTTCCAAGATCGCGGAAATCTTGTAAGCTTCTTTTGTGTTTAATAAACGGTTGTGTTGTTTGTAAACGAAGCATCTATTTCTGACTCAACTGCTTCCACATGTCGTTGATTGATACTGCTCAGCAATCCAAACAGCAAGGGAGACGATGACGATATATATCACATATTATTGTTCATTGAGTTTTTTCAAATTTCTCCCCCCCCTCGGCCCCCACATTAACAAAAAAAAAATCAAAGTTATTTGAGGTCACATCTTGTATGATCCCATGAGAAAGATGCATTTTTTCACTATTTGTATAATTAAATAACAGCAAAAACAACATTAAATGAAAATTATTATATCTCTTTATTCTATGTGCTGCTTTATATGGTAATGGCCAGGTTATTCAATAGGATGTTGAAATTCCCTTTTGTTCATTCTAATTGTTAGAAATAGAATACAGTTTAGAAAATGTTGCACAAAGATTTATTGTATTATTTTCTTCTAACCTGAAAGTCATTAGTAATAATTTAAATTTTATACAAGTGTTATTTAAAATTGATTTTTACACTGTACAGCTTAAAAAATGAAGCAAATTAAAGTGTAATGGCATCTTTACTTCTAATTATAATACAAGAGCATTACTTACTGTCATTTTGCTAATTTCATCTTTAGCTCTGATTACATTATCAAAATGGCAGAAGTTAATACTATTATGTGTAAACAAGGTGAAACATTGCATGATCAAATTAGGGCTATTATTTTAAATGTGTAGTAATTATTCTAGTCAGCAAAATGAAGTTTTCTGACTAAATATTATTAGCATGACAATTGAAGTTATACAAAGTGATATTATTGGCATGGCAGATATTGTGCTATGTCTTAACCATCAACAACTTCAACAAGGATGAGTGACTACTCTTTGAAAATAACCTTGAAAATTCATTTTTTATTAGATGGATTATAGTAAATATTCTTCTCCAATTTAATTGAACTTCTTCAAGCATACAAGTGAACAGTAACAGGTCATAATGTTAAGAGTAATTGCAGTGACCCATGGAATAGAACATTGGAGTAACTGTAGTGAATGACAGGAACATTTTTTGCAATGAACTAAATAGAAATGAAAGATGTATAATTATAAATTTTATGTGAAACTGTTTAGAAAATGCTACAAAAAATTTAATTATTATTGTTTTCTAACTCAAAAGTTATTTTAAAATATATGTACTATACATGTTTATTTAATTAACATAAACAAATTTCTACACTAGAGTTTATAAAATGAAGCAAATAAAGCAAAGTGGTGATGACATCATTTTTAGTTTTGATTTCTTAACAAAATGATAAAACAAAACATTGCTCAATTAAGCTAGGATTAATAACCAAACACCTTTATCGTTGCTGAGAATTAGTCCAGATAGTCGAGGTTCTACTGTACTTTAACTTACAAACAAGATAACTAAGGTAAATTAATCTTACTGTATTTCAAATCAGGAATTTTTCTATGGATGAGATGAAAATGTCCAGTCTTTAACAAGCAGAAAAAAATATTAAACAAAATATCTAGAAGTTAGGTCTAACAAAAAAGTCAAAAGCATTTGCTTGGTCAACAAATCAATGTGTAAGTTGCCATGAATACTTTCATACTCTGGCATTGTATAAGGAAAACTTTATTGCAGGCAAGTAGTCCAAAGAGTTGCAAACAGCTTATGTAAACAAAGAGCTTATATAAACTGGCAAAAATCAATTGTCATCAAACAATCTGTCAGAAATAATATAGGTAGTCCTAATAAAGGGAACCTATTAAAAACAGTGAAAATACTTCAAACAGCAATGAACACTTCTGCTTGATATATAGAGGAAGATTCATGAAGTAATACACTAAAATTCCTATTCAGATCCTCATGGATTTCAGCATCAGTATCACAGTTAGCCTTAATTCCATCTGTAAACAAGTAACTAGGAAAAGAAACATAATATTAATGTGAGGCTTTGGACAAGTCCGAACCCTCACTAAAATTTGTGTTAAAATAATTGTTTTAAAGAAAATAATATAGTAGTTAGAAATAGATTTTTATTTTACGCGATGCTAACTTTTAAACAATAGAATAATGTAAGTCCGTCGACCATTTCCGGTTGGAGATCGAATTAAACTTCGATTTTGACCTCTCCCGCACCCCCGAAAGGTTTCGAATTGTCATCAGGTGACGAGGAGAGACCAATTGGAAAGGGGAATCCGAGAGAAAACGGATAAAACCCCGGAAATTCAAGGACGCTACGGCTTCTTCTCCCGAAAGTTTCAAGTGACGGATCTGTTGTTGTTCTGTGTGTGTCTCGCACCCATCTCCATCTCCTGACCTTGGATCGACATCTTTCCATCAACAGAAGTCGACTGCATCGTCCCGGAGTTATCGAGATGTGATGGAATGGTTTATTCGCGAACAAGGGACACTCCTTCAAAATGGGACTATCTTGGGAAGGAGAGGAAGACCCAGAGGCCGCAGCTACTGCAGAACTTCCAAGATCGCGGAAATCTTGTAAGCTTCTTTTGTGTTTAATAAACGGTTGTGTTGTTTGTAAACGAAGCATCTATCTCTGACTCAACTGCTTCCACATGTATGTTAAGAGCTCTTTTAGTGTATTATTTGCATATATCGCCTTTATTGGCAATCATCTGTAAAAATAGGTAAAAAATTATCTAACAAAGTAAAGCTTTTCCTATTACGTATAGTTGGTTCATTTCTATTGTCAGTGATGTCATTTTACGTTTTCGCATGTGAGTACTGAATCTTAGCTACTAAATACACACTACTTTTTGAATTCGAAAATTATTATCTTTTAAAAGTAAAATAAAAAAAATGTGAATTTATAATTCTTATAAACTATGCTGATAATAAACACTAATTTCTCAATAGATTATCAGTTTCTGGTAGCTGGAGTTAAATGTATTAAGTCTAGTATTGAACCCACGTTTTCTAGTAGAAGATTAACAGATTGAAAACAAATTAATGTGCATTATGTGAGGCTCTGGACAGGTCCGAACCTTCACTAAAATT